GGGTCGCGGGATGCTACTGCGGTACGAAAATAAAATCCGTCTCGCCGTTGCGTGGAGAGAGAATCCGTTGATCGCACGCGCGGCCAAGATTTCGAGACCCGCGATGCTCCGGTACAGATATACGTGACTTTCGTAGATATAATATCAGCACTCTTATTTAACACTTTCCGGTGACCATGGGCCTCCCCGGTGAGGCCCATATGTCGTTTCGTATTTAAAACTCACGAATGAAATTCAACACTCTCTAAAACTTTCACAGTGAATTATCTTTCTGAAGAGATGAAAAATATCAACAATGTTAAAGATTGAAAATTGAGGCACTCTTTTTCAAGATTGGATCAATTTTTACTCTTTAAAGTGAGGTTCTCCCTCCACTCCAAAGAATTTAGAAAGTACGATTTCCTATAAACTCAAATACGATATATTTAAAAAATGAATTCGATAACCATTCGAAAACATTAATCAAGTGTCATGAATGAGATCAGAGAAAAATATTTTCTTTGGAATAAAGTGTGTGATGAGAAACTTATATTACGTATGACACTTGTGTTTTCATATCTTTTTAACACGTTAATATTTTATTTATAGCAGTTTGTAAGCTGTTAGTAGTACATGGTAGTTCTTTACAGATTTTTTTTTTAAAAACTTCCGAATTAACAGCGCACTTTAGCAACTCGAGATTTCGTACGATTTGATTAAGGATTAGATGAATTAAAAAATGAAATTAAAAAAATTTTTGTTTCAAAAAACTTTACACTGTACCGAACGCAGCGAACATAGGTAACACAGGTAGCTACGAATATATAGATGCTCAAACTTGACATATACGTCCTTTTCACAGGCGTAATAATAACAAGCAAACGGCTGTCGCGATGATAGAAGAGAGCTTGCGATATACCTCGTCCGTCAAGTTTACGCTCGAAAGTCTACAAATACATCAACTCATGGAGAGAAGCTAAATAATTTCTGTTTTGCAAAAAGCACAGGCACGACCGGACAAATTTGTCCGATGTTTTACCGGCGCGAAAGTTTCGCGGAACGGGAACGTGACAATTCGTCAACGTGATTTATAAATTCGTCCTGGCGAATACGCTGCAGCGACCAGGAAACTCCGCCCGAAATGATTATAATGCGCGTTCGCTAAGCGTGCAGATAAAAAACTCCGCCGCAGCACGTAGAAGTGAACAGAGATCCAGCGTCTTCGATGTATAAGACATTAAAATTCTTGTGGGAGAAAAAAAGTCGAAATGGTATGGCTCCTAGACTTCTTCGATGCGACGCACAGCCGCGCTCAAGGCTATGTCGCAACGACGTGGTAGCGTCATCGATATCGCCGTCCAGCTCGGCGGAGGAAGATACGAGCCAGAGAGCGGTAGCAGCAACAGCGGCGGCAGCAACAGCGGTAAATGCGACGTGGACGATGTAGACGACGACGACGACGACGACGAGGACGAGGACCGGCTCTGCCGCTGTTACTGTTATTTTTAACCCGACGCCGACGCGCCGAGTCCGTAGTCTAAAACCGCGTCTACCCTCCCGCGTCCTCCTCGTCTTCTCTATCGTTCTTCCTCATCATGATTTTCCTTCTCTCTCTCCTTCTCTCTCTCTCTCTCTCTCTCTCTCTCTCTCTCTCTCCGGTTTCTTTCTCTCTTCTCTTCTCTTTCTTCTTCTTCTTCTTCTTCTTAGCCGAGACGATGGGAGGGTTTACCAGGCACGCATATTTCGGAGCCTATTTTCAAAGTGACTTTCTATTTCCAAAGTCATAGGACGCCAGTCGGACGTTCGGGGCATCTTGAAGATGAGAATCGAGTTTAGAAAGCGCAACAGACTCAAAGTTCGTTTTTCCCAAACACGTTACGCTTCGTATTTGTTTTCGAGATAAAGTCCATTTCTCGGAAATAAAATATTATGGGGCTATAATAGCTTAGTGGCTTACCGTCGTTGTTTAAAAAGTATTTTATATAGAAAGATACAATTCCAGATGTTAATCATAATTTAGTTGGTTAGTATCGACAAAAACTTAATAATTTCAAGAAAAATGCAAAATATAAAAAAAAGTTGTAGCATATTGATTATTTCGCTTTAATTATCATAATCGAACAATCAATGCGATTCCTGTGATCAATGGATAATGGTGCTTATAGTTAGAATTATCGCTCTCAATATGGAACCAAACAAAAATGATTGTGCGGTAGATGAAAATGCGAAGAACAAGTCCTTCCAAATTGCACTTTAACATTACAGGGGAAGTGGAAATATCTCGCGATATATTTGGAAAATTCACTACGAATCGACCAGCCTGATGTACTCTTGTTTCCGGTCATTAGCTTTCCATTTGCCGCGCACATTCAGGGCTACCGGCGTCACGCGTGACACAAAAGACAATACAATAGACATGGTCTTTTATTGGAATGTCCCAAATCCATTACTGCATACTTTTTTTCAATTTTATTCGCAAAAGCGTTTATTAATAAATTTCAGAGCAAAACTTAAAAATTTAATGAAAATAAAAAATTGTAAGATTCATACATTTTAATAAATATAACAATATATATAATTATGTTACGAAATTCGCTTACCTTTAGGCCCAAAACATCTTCCCTTTCATTAGTTTTATGCTGAAATCAGAAAGAGGATTTTCAAATTATTTAATCAATTTAATTTAGTAATACTTAAGTTAGTAGATATATTTATTAAATTAATATATTATAAAAAGTTTTATGTTAAAAATATTACGACCGTAATATAATAAATAATGGGTAAATATTTCTGATGTATCTTCTGATTTTTTGTTACTATATAACTTACAATATATAATTAATATATATATATAATATATATATGTAAAATTATAATATATACATCTTTATAACGATTTAATATAAATTCATCTTTAATGAGAATAAACACGCCGTGCAACGAATGAGTCTATCGCTTTCTCCACGAATGCGGTCACAGCTATTGCTATTGTTTGTCAGTGCGTGGAACATTTTTCGAGAAATTGTCCTCTGAGAATCCGAGTAAATCATCATTAAAAAATCAAAGTAATTCGATGCGGTGCGCCTAGCGCGAAGTTAATGACGGTCGATAATGCTCGTCAAATGCCTGTAATACCGATAGCCAGGCCACGAGCGGCACACAAAAGCGGCAGAATAGAGTTAGGCCGAGAAACGCTTGAGCCGTATGCCTGTCGCGGGAAAATCCGTTTGAAGAGCCAGTTTTCCCGCCAGTCGAGTCAGCAACGTCGCGCGGCGCGGCGCGGCGCAACGCAACGTGGCGGCGAGAGGCGTCGAGAGAAAGAACGAGTCGGTCTGCTAGGCGCGAGGCGTCGGGGAGGAGAACGGCGCGGGAGGGAAAGGAACGGGCGGCCAAGGAGAGACGGAGAGAGGCGGCAAAGAAGAAAAAGAGAGAACGAGAAAGAAAGAGAGAGCGAGAGAGAAAGAGAGAAGCTCGAAACGTGACAACGCCGCGCTAATGCGTTGTAGACTCGGTTCCGTGCTGATACCCACGCTCCGAGGCCTCGCCTCGCCTCACCTCGCTTCGTCTCGCCTCACCTCACCCGGCCTCGCCTCACCTCGCTTCGTCTCGCCTCACCTCACCTCGCCTCGCCTCAGCTCGCTTCAGCTCGTCTTGCCTCGCCCCGCCCCGCCTCACCTCGCCTCTCGCCTCGCCTCGGCGGGAAGCCGCCGTTGCCTCGGCGTAGAACGAAATATTTCTACCGACAGACTTTCTACTCGGCGAGTACCGAGGGTTGCCGTGCGACCAGGTTACGACGATGCAACTAGGGTGGTAGATATTCGCGCGCTTCCTCTTAATCCGTCAGGAATGCATCGTGGTGCGCGACGCGTATCCTTATGGTGTAAGATTCTAGTTTACGGAAATGGCACGAAA